ACAGAATGAAGAAAAATCATATGCTATGCATGTGCAAGAAGCAACAATCAGTTTTTATATCACTAAAATATTAATTTGGGGTCCATAAATAAGCATATGTAAGCAAAAAGGTGTGTATGGTGTATGATAAGACCACGAACTTTAGATTTTTTAAAAGGTCCATGATTTGGCTGGTTGGGAGCAGGGAGGCAGGGTGGGGGGCCGCCGGTTAGTTCAGAACAACTGCGGGCCAAATGCATGGCAGGAAGGGAAGGGGGCAAAAAATGAATTCCTCAGGGCCCAAAAACTTTCTTCCCACCCGGATTCATAGCGAACTCCTTCCTGTGTAGTATGAAACCTTTAGAAGGTTTGAAGAGGAAAGTTTAGAAAGAAAACTGGCTGAAATGTGCGGGAAAGCAAAATGTAGGCAACAGTCCAAAGCATCTGAGGAGACAAACAAGAGCAGTGGAAATGGAGAAAAGGGAGTCAGAGAATAGTTAGGAGATAAAACGGCAAGCTGAATGTTTATGTTTGCTTGTATATGCATAAAATGTCACTGGAGGATTCTCAATGAACTGATTATACTAGCTGCCAGTGGATAGGGAAAGCAGGTAGCTAGCGTAAGAAGATGAGAAGGAATCTTTTCACTGTATAACCATCTGTACGTTTTGAATCACATGAAGATATTACCTGCTGTAAAAATAATTTTTTAAAAATATGGAGGCTAACAGAACATGGAGGTTAAAGACATGGAGGTTATGAATGCCTCTATGTAAAAATTTGCTCACATCTCTCTCCAAATCCTCTTCAATGTTTCTAGTTGAACTTTTGAAATCAGATTATTTTTACACCAAAGGCTCCTGGACTGTACCAATGACTGATCCTTTTGAAAAATCTCTTTTGACCTGGATGATAAATGTATCAAATTGAACTCAGCAACACATAGATGTAAAAAACTATTTACCTAGTCAGATTTAATCAACATAGCAGGTAGTTGTCAAAACATCAGAATGAAGAAAGTCTGGACAATTAACCAGGGAGCTTAATTTTTTTAATTTTATGATTAATAAAAGAGGCTCCAAAAAGAATCTATATTTGATTTATTAAAACACAGATGAATCAAATAAATCATTGATGTGAAAGAGGTCAGATATGAGGTCCAGTGTTGAGTGCAAAGTGAGCTTAGGCCAGCCCTTTGGCTAAAAATGATTTTTTTATTATTATTATATGGAATGAATCTTCTGTTCAGCCTAATACAGTATATAAGGCATTGACTTAAATTGAATGGTTTTACCAATTTTAAATTAGTGATAAGTAAACATAAATTTAATAGTTAAAAAAATAAGTGTAATTTAGTTTTATAAAACTATGTTACATTGTTTTCCACTTGTCTCTATAAGCTCAAATATACTAAACTTGCAATACTTGTTCAAAACATATCTAATGGAACCAATTAAACTTGTTAATCAAAAACGTTCTGTGTCCAGAGATCGATTTTGCAAATGTTTTCATTTATTTGGTTTTATGTTTTGTATTTTGCCTTGTTTCACAAAGGATGTGAGTCAGCTTAAAATAATAAATACAATAAATGGGAAAATGTAATTAGATAAAAATCAGAATCAAGAAAAACAAAGTAGAACAGATGTTCAAGACCAAAGGGAAAGTGAGAATATTAATATAAAGTCACAGGTTTTTATAGGGTTATTATAATTGAGTTGCAAATTTGACTCACACTTCCTCACTGCCAAATCAGAAAAGGAAATATAATCAAGTATCTGATTCTAGTTTTGTATGATGAAAAAAAGACAATAATTGCTCAGAGGAAGTAAAGCTTTTCTTTGGCATTTAGAACTGAAGGGAATTTCTTCCATGAGTCTTCAGTAGCTGTAGAAGAGACCCTGATCTTAATAACCACATTTCTTAAGTCACATAACAGTAAGTTTCTTGTGACTTTACGAGTAGAATACCTCAGCGTGAGCACAAGGTGGGTGAGTTGCAAAAGATACAAAACAAGGTAATCAAAGTATATAGTTTCTGAAGATCTGGCTAGACTCCTAGTCTAACATCTAGAATTAGAGAGGAACTGGTGGATGTTACGGCCTTCATTTAGCCAGTTCTCTGTAAACATCATTTGTCTCAATTAAGCTCTGATCAAATCTGTGAGCAGACAACTCAGGTTCTCTGATATGTGCAGAAACAAAGGCATTCTATACTACTGTTGAGGGAAGATAAGTACACAACAATTATTCTGCAACCACCAGTTCCCTGTATTTGAAATTCAAGGTTATACAAATTTTCTTTTCTATACTTTTTCGGAAACCATAACAATTTTGGTTCTAACATATGTGAATTACGTGGATTCTATTAGATGTAAACAAAAACAAGAAATATTTGGGCTGGGGTGAAAAAGTACTGGGATAAAAAAGTATGCCAGGATAAAGGACAGTAAACAACATTTAGCAAGGAAGAGGTAGGGGTTTGGAGAATAAAACCTTAGGAAATATACAGAAAGAGTAAATCCAAGTCTTAGAATTGCATTTCTGTGGTGCATATGGAGGCAGGGTGCTAGGGTCTCACTCAATAGGATCCAAGTAGTGAGTCATCCAACAGCAGAGGCATTGCACATTTAAATGCAGGACACACAGAAAAATGCATCTTCTATTCTGGGATTAGGAACCCACTCTTACTCGACAGATTTCAAGGCCAAGTGCACCAGCATGGTTTAAATGCTCAACTTCCATTTGTCAAATGAACAAATAAGTGTTTATTATCTACAACAAAGTAAAAAGAGTTTACTGTAACCACAGGGGAGAGCTCTTTTGAGAAGTTTAAAATGAGCAAGGAAGAGCAATGTAAATTGTTCGATATCCTTGACTACAAATTTAACATGTGTAAAATGCATTATCTTTATTTCATGAGGGAATTTCCTTTGTTCCAATGAACCATAACATTTTTCTTAAGTGCCCTCCCACTGTTGGTTCCCCCAATCTCACCACCTTTCACATAGCTGTTATTGCCTCACCATCTAGAAAAAGTCAAGTAGGCAGGAAAAGCAGTAAGAATAAACTATGGCTTACCATAGTTTGTGGAAATTAGTCTTTTGGGTAATATGCAATGAGGATGGTGAAGAGGTATTAAAAGGAAAAAAAAAAGGAAAAAAAAAGGAAAGAAAACAGATGATTGGACCACACCCAGATAATTTTGTTCAAGTGACTGAAAAGAGGTTAATACTGACTCATGAAACTTACATAACAGGAAAATAAAAACAAAATCAAAACAGGAAATGTCACAGTGCAAAAAATAAAACAAATAAAATGTGATGCAGTCATCCTTGGTTTTTTCAAGATAACATAAAATTCAAAGGCACTGAATCTTCCAAACCCCTGATTTCACAACTACTCTGACTGTCGAACTTGTAGATTGATATATGCTTATATACTGGGGAAAACCCTTACAGTTGAAAATGTATATCTATGCTATATATTTTGAATCATTTAGGAATCAGATATTTCTACATGCTTTGTTTTTACCTTTACCTGTAATAAAATATTATAATTAGATCAACCACAACTCAACTCTAAAACAAGTTAATATGTCACTTATTAACCAAATCACTGTTACCTCTAGAGTAACAGAATTTTCTTTTAGACATGAATTGTACTTTTTCTAATTGTGCTTGAGTTTAATTGAAATAAGTTTGATTACCACTAAGAATGGAAAATTTGCAAGCTTGGACATGAAATAAACATATTAGGAGTAGGGGAAAATTATTTCTTAATAACACTTTAGAGAAGGACAGCATACAGTCCTTTAAATGTCAAAATTCAAACTCAGATGTTAAGATAAGCAACTTTGACTATTTACACAAAGAAGCAATTTTTCAAATCAAGTAAAACCATCAACGGCCACAAAACAAATACATTTTAACAGTAAATTGTCTTTAGATGACTCAACAAATAACTAATAAGCACCCAATTTATATCAGATGTAGAGGATTACAAGATTGAACAAGACGAAGGCTCGGTCTTCCTGGAGTTTACACCGGTTAATTTTCCAAAGCTCTAATCTTAATAGGTTAATATAAAATTAGAACTTACAAAGATCCACTTTCCAAAACTTTAAAGCTTATTGCTTGAAATATAAAATAAAATAAATGATAACCCGTGAAGAGATAATCTTGCCAAAAGCTCTGATGTATGAACTTTATGCTTGGGGGAAAAGAAAGATTTCATAACCAGTTTCTCAGAAATACAAACCTTAACTCCTAGTTGGAAGCTAGGTTGTGCCCAAGGCTGCCTCTGCTGGCCAACTCGTTGCATCCGTCCAGCAGATTCTAAACTCTCTACACCTGTATCAAACTTGCCACTCGTAAACACATCCCTTCACATAAGCAGGAGGCTCCCAAGCAGGCAGCACAATACTCCAACCTCATGTATCTCCGGCATAATTTGACCTCTAAAAGGATCTTCTCTAACTGGCCCTAGAATGTTGACTGTAAGGGTCTGAGTCATCAATTTTATATACTATCCAGCCAGCTCTGAAATAAACAAAAATCCACAGCGACTTCTACATGCCGCTAAAATAACGCTTTCCGTGTCTACACGTTTGGCTAAAACAAGAAGAACGCATCTGCTCATGCAGCCGAAAAAATACCGTGACATTTCTACCTGAGCTGCGGAAAATCCACCGCCCCCCATCCCTTACCCCCTCCCCCACCCCAAAATAAATAAGCTACACGCTAATTTGTCCTCCTCACCCCCAACCACATCACGCTGGGGCCCTGGAGATGGGCGGGGAAGGGTCAAGCTCTCCTCCGCCACCGCTCGGCCACCCTCGCTCTAGAAGAGGTTGTCAGGTTAACCCCCGGCTGCGCCCCGCGCCATCAGCACACCTGCGAACGCTCCACCGACCCCCGGCGGGAGGCAAGTTTGGTGGGTCCCGGTCCCTGACCCCCGCCTCTCCCCAGCAGCAGCATCAGCTGCGGGCTGCAACTAAGGCTGGTCCCCGCCTTACCCACCTACCTACAGGGTGGGGGCGCTGGCTCCTCGGGTCCGGGAGAAGGGGTTCCGGCGCATGCATTTCTGGGAGCGGTGGCCTCTGCTGCTCGGCGCTGGGGACCGCATCCTCTAGGGTGGGTAGAAGGAGGGGTCGCGGGGGGACAGTGCGCCGAGGAGGAGCAAGGCCAGGAGGAAGGAGCGCCGAGGCGCGCACCCTTGGGGCCCGCCGCCGGGACTCCCCAGGCCTCTCCGCACGAGCAGCGGCAGCTCGCCAGCCCTGCAGCTCAGCCGGCGGTCCGGGTATCCGCCGCCACAGGCTCACGGGCCCGGCCGGAGGCGGGGAACTACCGATGGCGCGACGCGGTGCAAATGCCCGCCTCTAGCTCCGCCCGGCTCGCGCCACGCTCTGCACCCCTCCGCGGCGGCGGGGGCCCGGGGGCTCCGAGGCCGGGCTCTGCGGTTTGGGATGCAGCTGCGGCATCCTCCTTGCCCCCGTGACCTCAGAGCTGGAGCCTAGGCACCTCTGCCGCCCCCGGCTGTTGTAGCCTCCGCTGCCACCGCACAGCCCCAGCAGCGGCCTGGCGGCCCCGCCTCGGATTGCTGCGCGCGCGGCCTCCGCAGGCCTCGGCCCATTGTGACGCCTCCCGAGAGCCTGCTCTTTGCTGCCCCGGCGGCTGGAAGCTTGGCGGCTGAACCTAGGAGAATCTTACCTCGCCCCGGGCTGCATCCCCTACAGCTGTTCCGCCGTGGCCACCAATCTTTGTGGGAAGTAAGGCTTTAAGAGTAGAGCTGGAGTTAGAGCGTCTCCTCAAGCTTTAAAGCCTTGAGTTTACTTCCAGCTCCGGGACCAGTAAATTCATTCGTCTGTCCTTCCTGGCGTTGCGTTTCGCAAAGGGGCCCACCATCTCCTCCCCCTCCTGCCCCAGTACCCTGTACAGCATCCCAGATGCTGCCAAACTGCAATCTTTACAGCAATGGGGACATAGCAATTAGGCCTTCCAGGCCGACTCTTGGCAGAGACGGAGGAAGTTTGGGCTGAGAATATTTGCATCAGCAGCCAGGCATTGTCCGTGAGCTTCCCATCCCCACTTGGTTGCTGTCCCCAATATGGGCCCACGACCAGCACTGCAAGATGATTTAGATTTTACAATCATAAAAGCACTTATCAAAGAACTGTGAGAGCAAATCAGTTTCTCTGGACATCTAAAACCATGTTCTTCTGATTCAATGAAATCAGCTCTTTGTATTTTAGGAGCCTACTTTTCCCTTGAAAGTAATTTGCAAATAACACAATATCTAAACAAAAAAGAAAAACACCTATTTTTTTTCTCATTGAAACCATAAAGATCAAAACCTGAGGGCCAGTTTTATACATGCTCGGTGCAGAATTGGGCGATTATTTCATACTTGGCAAGATAGTATAACATGACCACTTGCAACTGAAATCCTAAAGCCATCACTGTTGATTGCTTTGCTCCGACTTCCGTGAGAGACTCTTAAAGCGTGAGCAGCGTTAATAACCCAGAGGAGGCCGCTATCTAGTGTGCCTGTGTGTGAACTCTGACACGCCCGTGTTATCAGACCAGCAGCAGGCTCTGCACTGAGTTTTTGTTGTTGTTTGTTTGTTTATCTGCCTTGAGTTTGTGTCGTTAATTGTTTGTTAGTTTTTCTTCCTGTGGGTGAGTGTAAACCTCACAGCCAAATCCTCCTAGTCATCTTGCCGTGCTGCTGGTCATAGGACCGTAGAAGGAACAACACCTAAGAGGAGATGAGAAGCTCAGGCAATGCCTGGCTGCTGATGCAAATATTCCCAGCCCAGGCTCTTTTCAGATCTCTACCAAGAGTCGGCCTGGAGGGCCGAATTGCTGCGTCTTTATCACTGTAATGATTGCAGTTTGGCAGCATGCGAGATGCCATACCGCGCGACTGGAGCAGGAGTGGGAAGAGTTGATGGGACCCCTGCGAAACGCAACGCGGAAAAGACAGAATGATGAATTCACTGTGGCCAGGTTTTTTGGGGTTTTTTTGTTTTAATAAAAAATAAAAATTAACCAGGCATAAGAAAAGACATGTCCCAAAGCAGTACAAAATGTGATAAAATCCCTGAAGCTTTTTGAAATGAGTTCCTTTAAGCTAAGTGGTGGTCCAGTACAGAGGAGGGGAGGAGCTTCACTGCGCTGGGTTCAGGAAACAGAAGCCCACCACTTGACTACTTTTAGGGACTCCGATAGATCTAGAGTCCCAGTTTATTTTCAAAAGATACCTATCCTTATTCATAATATTTTACCCCAAATTCAGAATAAGTCGATTATAGAAATGTATACACACATAGTTTATGATGTATAAGTGACCAGATGAAGTCAATGAGAATATGGCAGTTGTCTACTCTTAAAATTTTTAAAGAGGTCTACCTTTTAGAATGTAGCTTCTGCAGGAAATATTCATTGAGTTGCAATTCTTGAGTGTTTCCATCATTTCTGCACCAAGAGTCTGCTTTCGTTTTTTTCTCTATGGACCTCATTTTTGTCAAGAAACAAATTCAGTAGTGATTTTTTTTATTAGCTAAAGATATAACTGAGTATGTATTTCAAAAGCAGTAACCATCAATTATAAAATGTCAGCCTTTCGAAAATATTGCATGTAATTTCAAGATCCTCTTTACTATCTTCATTAACTCTTTTAGGACTGCATGCTGTATCATGCTTATTACAATGTTTTATTACATGGAAGTCCCAGTATAATAAAGAAGTCTGCTTCCCAGTTTAGAGGAGGGGGAATTCCCCCTTAAAGATTCTTCATTCATACTATTTCATTAACTCAGCATTTATTGATTTGCGTAAGCTTTGTCTTTATAGAGAAATCAGAAGAAATAAAACCATTTCCTTATCCTCTAAATCTGCATTGTCCAATACAGTACCCAGTAGCCACATGTGACCATTTAAATTTAAATTAAATTTAAATTAAGTTTAAATTATTCCACTAGCCACACTTCACGTGGCTAGTGACTTTTCTTTTGGACAGCAAAAAATAGAACATTTCTATTATTGCAGAAAACTTTTCTAAAAGAAAAGCTGCTCTAAATAGAAGGTGATATTTTAGGAGATAAGATATAATGCATAAAATAATTTGGAAAATCTTAGTATGCTACGGATCAAAACTAATTAGAATGTGTACTTCTTAAGAACATGGTAATCTCCAAGAATTCAGGCTCTAGCTTCAGACTGCAGCACTACCACTGGCTGACCTTGGGTAAACTGCCTAACCCCTGTTGCTTTATCTGTAAAATGAGGGTGATAATAGTATCGACTTTACAGGACAGACATAAAGATCAAATGAAATGATCCATGAAAGACACTTAGACTAAAGTCTAGAATGTGACCTTCAGGAAAAGCTAGGTATTACTATAACAATATACATTATTATAATAAAGGTTTTCTTTTTAAAAAATTGTATCCCTAGTACCTGTCATTATACCTGGCGAATAGAAGGAGACTGGTAAACACTGCTCTAACACTTGGCCAAAATGAAAGGCTTCCTGGATAAGTAATGAGCTCACAACCACTGAAAGTGTAGAAACTTTTTTGGAAGTCTTCTCTGTAAAGGTGTTGAAGAGGAGATTTGTGCATTAGATGATGTGTTTAGTCTACTAGTACCAAGAAAGTTCACTCTTCAGTGGTTGAACTTCTCCTTTTCTAGCACAAAGAAACACCTCCTTTCACACACCTGACTTGGGTTGGTTGACATAAGAGTTCCAGAGGAGGTCAATACGGATGACATCTGCGGAGGTCTGTCCTGCACCTAAAGAGGTAGAATGGAGTTCACTATTTAATAGTGTTGAAGGCAGTGACTCATTTTCACGACTGGAATCATTTGTCCAGCACATTATAAATAGTAACCTGAGTTTCTGGTAGAATGTAAATAGGTCCTTTTGTGGATTTGCCTAGGTTCAGTGCTTCTATTGGCTTGTCTAAGGAGGAGGTAGAAATCTTATCATTTGAAATGAAGAGCCAACCAGAGTGTATTAAGAAACAAATACTGATGTATATAGAAATAGATTGCTGTCTGGGTGTCTGTCAGCACATAGAACATATGGCTGATTATCTAGACTAAGCACAATAGATTTGCCCTTTTCTTTTATTCACAGTTAATTTCTGCTGTCTTATTCTGCTAAAAATAGTACCTTCAATAACTTAAGAATCCATTATATATTTTTTACATTTTCTAAAACACTTATTCAAGTAAACTGGGGCTGACATTGGTGCTAAGATATAATTTAAAATTCTGAAATGAATCCCTAAATTCAAAGTAAAATTAACTGATGGTGGTTATTTGGATTGTAAAAAATTTACAGTGCAATTAACTGAAAAAGAAGGTTTTCTAAGGAAATAATTATAGATTCACAAAAAGTTTCCAAAAATATACAGAGATGTCCTAGGTTTCTCCTCCACACTTGTTCCTCAATGGTAACATCTTGTATCATTACATCATAATATCAAAACCAGAAAATTGATTGTTGGTACACTCAGTTAATCATTAATAATTGTTAAAATGTTATGCTATGTAAATGGAATCATACAGTATGTAACTTTTTGAATTGTTTTTTTTTTTTTTTCCACTCAGCATAATTCCCTTGGGATCTGTTCAAGTTGTTATATGTTTCAATAGTTTTTTCCTTTTTTTTTTTTTTTTAATAAATATTCCATCCATGATATGGATGTACCACAGTTGATTACCCATCGAAGGACATTTCGATTGTTTCCAGTTTGGGAGTATTATGAATAAAGCTAATATAAACATTCGTGTGTAGATTTTGTGTGAACACAAGTTTTCATTTCTCTGTGCCCAAGAGTACAATTGCTGGATCATATGGTAAGTACATGTTTAGTTTTATAAGAAACTGCCAAACTATTTTCAAGAATGGCTGTACCATTTTACATTCCCATCAACAAAGTATACATGATAAATGATGAGTTTTTAATCTATTAAATAAACTTTATTAAAGTTTAGCCATACATTTCTTTTACTATCCACTACCCTACTATACTGTAATTGCTTGTTTACTTGAACCCCACCAGACTAAGTTTAAAGTTAGGGATCCTGTTTTGTTCACTTTGATGCCTTTAATGCCTAACATAGATGGTCAATAAATAT